CTTATTCTACTGCCCGTGTATCCAACAAATTTTCAAATTCAATTATCTCGAAAACGAGGCGTCAAACAAACAAAGTTATTTCTTCTTTTTTACTTGATTTTACATGTAGAAAATCATCACCTATACCACTGCTTGCCCACACTCTGTGTATGTACGTACTTTTTTTGTTTTCTTTCGTTTCCTTGTAACAGTCTGACTACACACCATGAAATAATCAAACTATTTTGCATTCGGCTACTTTCAAAGCGATGGTCTGATGAATGTTTGGCGACGCCTCATATTTCTTCCGTAAATATTCATGAAAATGTATTGCTGTGCGCGCGGCACGTTTCACTGTCAATACACCAATGGAGTGCAATTTGGGAAATTGAAAACCAAGTATAAAATCAATAAGGATATCATCGTGGAATATTCTTTACAAGACAAAGTACACTAAACGAATTAATACCACAATGCACCCACATTTCCATTATCAAAGACACATAAATATTTAAGGTCCGAACATCGACACGAGATTGGATAGGAATCTTCCCCAGAGGATGGATCAACCTGCAGCAATACCTAACCTTCGAATATGTCGTTGTCCCGCCTGAAATGGCATCCCTATCGAATCGCAGTATCGCATTTTTGCATTCATTTCATCAAGAGGTTATAAAATACAACAAATATGACAAACTATAGAAACCTGTATCAATTCAAGAAGCTAAAAATACCTTACTATTCCCCAATTCGATCACGAATGGGAACGTCTCACCTTAAAATTTCCTTTTATCTACATTTGTGGGGCTCAGTGGAAAAGACACCTGCCATACCTATGTTGTTTTTTAACTTTTAGTACTATCAATTTACACTAACCTTAATTTTCCTAAAAATAGTTATCGTTTAAATTTGTAGTATTGTGGCATTTTCCCCTCTTTCACTAAGCCCATCATTTATCTTTTATACTATAAATACTTGAGTCTAACATTTTCAATAATCTATTTACGAATGTCTTCGAAACATAAAAGCTAAGTGATTCATGAACATAAACAATATCCATATTTTCACAGGCGTCCCTGAATACCGATTACCACTTCGTCTACGTGAGCAAAGAAATCGAGATCCTGGGCACGAGTACCTACTTCCGTTTCGTCGTACCGCCGTCTCTACGACCTCTTGATCGGTGCGCGTCCACGCCGGAAGTATGTCTCACGGTTCGCGATAAATTTAACGAGAATTCATAAGAACGACAAGCGACCTTTCCAGCACGGTCTGATCGTCGACGATCTTTTTCCACCGACGCCCGTGACACCGACGCCAAGCGAGACGGGAAAGTTCGTCGGTACGAGCAAACTGTCAGGAACGATCGACGGCGTTGCTCAACCGCATCGCGCGAACAGTTCGTTCGCGGATCACCGTCAAAGAATGTGTCGATTTCGCTGCACCTCGAGACTGACGCCATCGATCACGGCGAATCGGGTGAGACGACGTGAAAATCATGGGAAAGTTTTCCAAATAAAATCGTAATATTTCCTCGTATTATCAAAATATATATGGTCACGATCGTGGGGTCAGATCTCACGATTCACACTTTCTGTGTCATATTACTTCTCGACTCTATAAAGTCACATCGTGACTTACCATCCAAGATACAGATACAGAATGTAAGACAGAACGAGAAAAGTGGAAAATGTAGAATTTGTAAACATTGTAGAAAAATCGAAAATGTCAGAGAAGCTCTTGAATTCCGACAGGTTCAATTCTTGATGTCGCATAATACACATCTTGGAGCACGAGTGGGACGTCTCGCGCGCGATTTGGAGCTGGCGGAGGCGACTATAGAAAGGGAGAAAATGGCGCGGGCGGTCTTAACGGGGAAGCTGCAAAGCTATGAAACATTCCTCGTGGAGATGTTCAAGTCCTTGAATCTGATGGGGATCGTGAAAATCACGAACAAGACGGGGAAAGAGGTTCTTGTTAATACGGTAATTCCTCGATGAATGCGACACGAACAACGATATTATTCCCACCATTTTTTTTTCTGTGGACGGGGGGGGGGACGTCCTCCGCTGGAACCAATACAAACAGAGTAACCAGAAGCTAACCAGAGGCTTGGTTTTGTATAAAAAACAAATTTATGAATGCTCCGAAGCGGACCCGAGTTCGTCTCACTCATCGAGACATTACTGTATCTGGAAACTGACATACAAATTAAAACAAGAATAATACGAATATACAATTTATACCTTGTTTAGATTTATATACAGAAAATGAAACTGAAGGACTTGTCTCGGATAAGGAACAAGCCACGTTCTATCCCGGAAGTTACGATGTTCCATCAGGGTATAGGAAGTAAAGCATGGAATTTCGAAGAAACATTGGACAACAAGAAGTTCGAGGAGGACCCTCAGGATATCGTAAACATTTCTAAGTTTCTCAAAGTTGATTAAACACAATTATTGAAAGTTAAATCGTTTCGCGATTCTTTCGAGCAGAATTCGTTATTCGACGAATTAATGCAAGGCGATGGGAAGATCGTGCAGGATTCAGGAGGTACACTACTAACGGCGGAACAGTCGTACAAAGAATCGAAGAATTTCGAGATGGTTTCGTCTATCGAAGAGCTGCCGTCTTGTTGCCAGTTCCCGAAAACGCTGACAGAAGCTGGTCTATCAATGGCGGTTACCATGGCGAACACCGAGTGTCTGCGGTAAGAAATGCGATATCTATTCCACGTTGCAAAACGAGCACCACGTTGCTTAATAATTCCAGTGGTGCTTACGTAACGAAAGAGGCCACGGGCGCGACGAACGATGGACACGATAGTCCGTGCAAAGACAATTGTAACATCGAAGAAACTAATGATGTCGAGGGCAAGGCGAAAGAAGAGAAAAATAACACGGTCGACGATAAGGGGACCATGGAGAAGCTCGAGAGTTCGACGGAGTGTTGCTGCGATTGCCACTTAAATTCGTTGAAATCGTTGACCACGAATAAAAAACAGGACGAAGACGACAGGAAAGGTGAGATATCGGAGGAATTGATCGAAGGGTTATAAATTAATTTTCTGTTCTCCCAAAGTGTACGCGTTTGAATATGAATGCGACATGGACCTAGCCAATGGGTTGCTACGAACGAAAAACGATGCGATGGGTATTGAAACGCTTCGACCAAAGCAGACTACTATTTTTTTAAAGGGAAGGATGAAGCTGAAATGCGAGGGCAACTAGACCTGCCCGTGATTCTTCTGTAAGAATTCTAGAATAGTCGTTAAATCAGAGAAGGTATTATAAGAAAATGTTTTAATGTATATTGCAGATATCGAAATAAGTAAATTTCGAAGGCGAACATATATTTTCACCGACGCCATTTTTTCGAATCCCGTATACTGTAAGACGTTGCGTCGACGATACTGGCGTGAACAGAATGTAAATAACAGTCTTCGTTTTATATTTAACAATTCGCTTCCCAGTTACGTTCGTATTTAAACCGATTTCGTTCTCATCGATTGGTTCCCTGTGTACCATATTCAATCTTAAATAAACGCATTCCATTAAATTACAACACGTTCAGTAGCGAATTTTCTGCGCGTAAGGACAGCCTTGAGACCGTCCCGAGGTTCGTACAATAATAAATGTCCGTACGATTCGTTGGTGTGCATGTTGCGATGCGTTGTCTACGCCGTTCTTCGAATTATTTTTAAATAAAGTACGCGTTAACGTTAAAGAAGCGACAAAAGCTGCGCGGTCGAAACGCGATAACGATGGTGCCGAGCCAGATTTTCGAACGCACTATCGTGATTAGATGATTCATCGAGTATGTAAATCGTTTTCGAAGCACGTTTGTCGCAACTATTTCGGTATTGTTGTTAATATAATTGGTGATGATCAGAGGCGCCGCAACACCAGCCACGAACGGGAAACCGTACAGGAAGTCCTATACGCTTCTGCTCGCCGAGCACGTGTACCCACCGTTTCGTCGAACAGTTCGAAAAACTGACTAAATATAGAATACGAGCGGCGCTATTGTTAGGTTGCCTGCGTTTTCGTGGGCTACGTCTTTCGTTCAACACCGTGGTTCACGTGAGAGATCGTCCAGGAGAATCTCGCGAATTTACGAGATCCCGAAGACTCGACAGGTTCGAGAATTGTGTCGCCATCGCTGAATGTCGTGGGACGCTGAGGATACAAAACGACTCGTAAAACAGGCGAACAACATTTTAACGAAATATTTCTGCGCGTTGAAAAAACATTTTACGCCGTTGAAAGATTATTTTCATATTGGACTGTTCACGAAGGAAATCACTGTATTCTCCGAGGTCGCAGATTTTGTACAATGTACAGGCTGTTTCCGAAATGGCGGTACAAACCTGAAAGAATATTAATTCTGTATGGATTAATGAACTGAAAATGTAGAATAATATTTTGTCGTATGATGCTTCGTTTCCGAGGAAATTGAATTTGAAACTTTCCTGGGTACGCGTGCAATTGAATAGGATTTGGCTAACGCGTCTGTTTATTGCATTCTGTTTCTACTTACTGTCAGTATGAATACAACGATTCTACTATTTTTCCGAAGGAACAGTGTATTTATCAAATACAAGTAAAAAATAAATGTTCAAAATTCCAGCAATTCCAGAGCAGTTGTTCATAATTCTACGATTCTCAACGATGATTTCCCCCTTTTTTATACCGTTTAATATTAAATCCTGGTCGTAGCAGATTGAACGTTCGCTCTCGTCAATGCATATAAGTTCCCAGAAAACCTTTACTTTGTGAATCAACAAAGAAGAAGGGTAATAGATCCACGGCGGATCATCGCGAAGTTTCAGGAAGTTTATACGAAACTATAATCGATATCCTAGATCACGGGGAGGAGGGCCACGCGGAAATCGCGATCGCGCCGGCGCGAGACCATCCGAGCGAGGAGAGCTTCGCCGTCCTCGCGCACGCGGTCTTTCGTAACGATATTTTTAGAGAAGTGAGTCGCTGGCCGCAAGCGGCGACGGCAGTCAAGTGTCGCCGTTTACCCCAAGGAAATCGAAAGATTACGATCGTCACACGACGAATTCTCGGATGACCACCAGCGCAAACATCCGGTAAGTAACTCGCGATTCTGAACACCGTGGTAACGTCATCGTCCACCTCAGAGTGTTTTCTTCATCTGCAATCGATCGTTCACCTCCGATCCATCCACCCTCGGGTTTCGCAACTTCTCCCGGCTCTCGTGTAACTATACTGTGTGTTCTAAAATAGCTGCGGCTCCCGGAAATGAGGGGTTCCTGGGACGATTTGAAACAACTTTTTCCTTAGCGAAAATGTTATCCGAGGCTTTGTTAACGAGATATTAACGAAAAACCCCGACCAATCAGAGCGCGTGTCTACCAGCCGAGCTTCCGCAGTAGCGTTGGCTACGCGCTGTGATTGGCAGCCGACGCTACCGCGGGAACTCGGCCGGTAGACACGCGCTCTGATTGGTCGGGGTTTTTCGTTAATATTTCGTTAACAGAGCCTCGGATAATATTTTTGCTTAGGAAAAAGTTGTTTCAAATCGTCGCAGGAACCCCTCATTTTCGGCAGTCGAAGCTATTTTGGGACACCCTGTATGTTTGCTCGGTGACATTGCCTCGTGGTTAAACCGTGGATCGTCATTGAAAAACTAGTTTATTTCGTTTTACACGGTGAGATACATCAGGCTAGGGCTGGTTTCTATGGAACTAAATTTGGATCGCGAGGGCTGAAGTGCTTGGTGCGCCTATTTATGATGTATTTATGGCATCGGGCGCTGGTGTGTTCGTGGTTTGTTTTTCGTTTCTGAGATCCCGTTGCTGTCTCGTGACGTTCACTTCGTTAATGTTTCTTCGTTATCTTGCGCGGGTAAATTTATCAGTAGCTTTCTTTTTAGCTCTGAATAGGTGAAATTGTTGATTAATTGTTGGTTATTTGGGGCGAGGTAATTTCTTGTGACGATGATAGGTCCGAGCAGCAAGTTCGCTTGCCACGGATTGTTCTGTGTTTTCGTTCGTTTGAAGCTAACGAACGCGCAGACGGGCCCGTTTTCGATCGTGGATCGAGGTTATATTTAAGGCGTATTTACATCGGGCCACGAGCCACGCGGAGATACGCGGTGGCGTGCCGGTCATAAAGCTTCTTCGAGGATCACCTGCCATCGAGTGAACGTCTTTGATCTCCGCCGTGATGAAAAACGAGAATTGTCACGAGAACTTCGAAAGATTTGAAAGGAAAAGTTTTTGTTCTTTGGTAATTCGTAAAACGATTTGTCGATCGATTGCGTTCAGTTTCTTTGATTAGGCGATCTCTTTCATGGATTTTCTTTGGCCCCATCGGTTTTCTCTTCCGCGAAGAGTAATGTAGATTTTAAAATAAAGAATCTAGACCGATCTATCTTCTAAAAATACAAGCTGACTCGGTCCGACTTTTTTCCTCCGTGCCAACTGATTCTCTCTATCTCTCTTGGTACCACTCGTCGAGGCTAATCGTAATATCGTGGATCACCGTGGATCAATTTATAGGTTCATTTATCTTGCCGCTTACTCCATGGCGGTGTGCTGTACCAGACCGAGAAATAATGGGATAGAAAGCATTTCATATCGTCGAATCTTCGGAAAGTAATTCATATAAATTAAATTTGGTGTAAGGATCCTGCATTGCGTGTAGTTTATACAAAACATGAAATTAAAAAGAAATAACATGTTTAAGTATTTTTGTAGTTTATACAAAACATGAAATTGAAGATCAATTACATAATTTGAACATAATTTTTCACATTTAATATTTTCTTTAAAGCGTGGTAACGTTCGAAACAGTTACGTTGGTGTAGAAAATAAAAGGCAATGCATTGCTAACGAAAAAGTGAGAGATCTCCCCAGTCGTTCATACAGCGTTTTACTTCGATCTCCCCATTCGGTTGGCTAAGTGTTGTATCGTAATATCTGCATTAGTATAAAGCACACTACTAGTGACTTCTCAATAAAGCTCAATTAGATCGTTCGACGTCGTCCTCACCTCGAATAGACGAGTGTTACAATTAAGAAACTACTCCGTTAACGGGTTAAAGTTGCATAGCGAATATTTCACGTTTGACCAGGACAAGGAACACTATTTTCTTGAATTTGTTTTTTATATTTTTTCAGACAATTTACCTGCACGTCCCAGGCACTGGATACCCAAACCCCACGAAGACGCGGAACCATCGAGAAGAAATTAACGATTTAAGTAGAATAAGTACAGAATGGGTGCGGCTGGCAGTAGTAACAGTGCACCTCCTCCTCCCTCAGCGCCATTGAGATCGCGAAGCGAGGAAACATTTATCTACGGGACAGAGGAATCCTGCTGTCCGGAGTACACGAACGAAAATATACGACAAAGGACGAGGACCAGCGCGTTCGACGTGGGTGAAGAACCCCGATCGCAGGTTAAATTTAACACGAATGTATTTATTGGTCTTGAGAGCGACCCGAACGACCAGATAGACACAGGAGAGGTCGTTTTCTGCGATGTACGCAGGGTGTAAATAAATTATGGCCGTGGACTTCAGGGAACGATGGCTTAACGAACGAAACAGAAATGTCTTGGTGAACATTCGTGCAGAAACTAGCAGCTTTGAACGTACTGATAATACAAAAGACCGTAAAACGATTGAAATTAGGGTCTACACACATGGTGTTTCTGAAAACGTACTATAAAGAAGGTGATTGCTCCTGTAAAAGTAAGTCGAAAATATAGAATAAAATTTGTTTAGTACGATGCTTCATTTCGAGGATAATCGAATAGATCTTGTTAATGTGCATTTCTACTTACTGCCAGAGTAAACACACGCGTTTTAGATGCGTCTTCAAACACGATTTTCTTGAAAACGGAGCTTCATGTGAATAAATTTTATTCTATATTTTCGACATAGATTTACATGAAGATTCACCTACTTTCTGGTTGGACCACGATTTCGGAAACACCCTGTATTGTTTCGTTCAAACAACTGTGTCCTTGACGTTTGTGTGCATACTGTACTTACGCCATATATGTATACGATTATTGGAAATACACTGCTTGAAACAATTAGACGATCACGCATTACGGTCGCTTTGTAACAAAATTTTGTATAGGTAAAAAAATAAGTACATATCATTAATGCACAAAAAATGTAATAATTTATCAAACTTATAGATCCTGTTTTGCGATGCTCTAATTCTTTCGAGCACTGTAAAAGAAACAGGAAAATTCATTCAGACAACGATAACAAAAGCTAGTCTTCAGAATTTTCTAATTGACAGAAATAATTCACACAGGATCCTAGTTCACATGCGACCGTCAGAGGTGAAGAATGGTGGAGCCAAAGACCATCGGCGCCGAGTCTGTCGAACTTACGGTCATCTCATCCGGAGACACTGGTGAGCAAACCATTTGGAACTAACCACCTTCGAAAGAAGCCTCCTCGGACTATCATTTTCCTACCAACACTAAAAAAAAAAAATCATATCTTCGAAGTTCAATAATATCCCACCCACATCAATCCTATCATCTTGAAAGAATCACGAAAACTCGTTTCCGGGTAAAATTTCGAATCGAAGGGATTATGAGACTATACTGGCTGTTTTTGTTGGTTGAAACGATGGTCGAGGAGGCACAGATGCCGGCGAACGAAATTTTCCAAGCAGAACGGGCCGATCTTTTGTCCCGCCGCGAGGAAAAGCGACGCGAGACCGCTGGCCGGACTCCAAGAAGCTCCCCAGCGGGTCTTCGTGATTTCGGGAGAACACGCTGAGTCACGGTCACGAAGTGGCGAGTTCGCAGGCATCGATCGCGATCACGTGCCCCTACCACTGGTGTCTCCCCGCAGTTTTCTCTGTGAACAGCGGTGCCTGTTGTGCCAGTGCACTCGCGCGAATCGTCTGACGTGGATCGAGCTTACGAAAGCTCGAGGAGGATCGATTCTCGTTGAATCGACCAGCCCATATTGTCCCCTGGTTGCTTGGATGGATCTGCGAACCACTGCTCGATCGGTTCGAGAACAATTGATAGAATATTAGAACGTCTTCGAGAATCCCTTTGAAGATTCGTTGTTGGTTTTTAAGAATATTGACGTGAGTGTGAAAATTATTCGGCACTAATTGCGATTCTATATATCTTTCAATCTTCCGTTTCACAAACATTCCTGTAGGCTCGTAGACAATGACTAATATTGTTGAAACGAAGTTTCGATTTTCTTAGGGAATAAATACTGAAACTAGATTGTCCGTTAGTACAGCCAGAAATTTTTTTCCCGATTTTTATCGATTTCTTTAGTTCGCATCCATAGGAAGCTCTGTGATCGACTATCATAGCGTGAATTAACATTTGTTATTTCTGTCATCTTAAATACCGATCAATTAATGAAGTATTCGGTTACTTCGATCCGAGGATCGTTCTTCGAGCGCTTTAAACTCGCCCGGTCAGCGAAGCAATGCAAAAAGGAGTAACGTAGCTGGGCCACGTACCCATTCCTTGATCAGAATTCCGATCATCGATCACCCGGTCGGTTCGATCGGCACCGCCTGAAATTAGTCCATTTATTTATATTGCAGTTGACGTACGCAGCGCGGATGACAGGTTGGCAATCGGCCGAGGGGCACGGCCCTTCTTCGTTCTTGCAGAACCATCAAGAATCCATGGAGCTAACGAGGGTGATCACGCAGCTCGCGATGGCGAATCAGCAGCTGGCCACCGCGCACACGGCCACGTTGGCGCATCTCGAGGAATTGTACAAGGAATTGCGGAAGGAGCGTGAATCGAGGAGACGTGGAGTTACGTCGATCGCCGTGTCAGACGGGACTGCGAAGACAAGACTGACGATGGAGCAGGAGGACGAGGACGAGAACAGACGAAAAATAGAGCAGGAGGATGAGGACCAGATCAGACGAAGAATGGAGCTGAGGATCGATAGATTGGAGGATCTGTTGGCGTGGAATCGGGATGGTTGCCAGGGAGGACAAAGAATTCGCGATGAGGTCAAGAAGCCGCGATCTAGGATAGATAGATTCGAATTGATGGAGAGGACTCGGGGACCTAAGAAAACGGATGAACAGCAAGGATCCGGGAGTGTTTGTTCGATGGAGAATCAGGATTTACGAACGGATCGACATACGTGTTATGTCGATGTTGTTCATGATAGGGTTCGAAATAGGACCGACGTACCTGAAAGTGTTTTGAAAAATCAGTCTTTCGTGGAACCGACGGATGACGAGGGTCGAACGGGGTCTATTCATAGAACACGTAGCGTAGATGAGACGGCCGTCTCGAAGTCCAGCGATGAAACGGATCGTTCGGCTGGGAATTTGCATTTAGAGATGTCGGAGAGTCAGGGATCTAGGGTGGAGGATGGTCGAATGGAAAGCTCGAGGGTGAACATGCTGTCGGAGGAAATCGAGAGATTAAAGGCTGAACGATTAGAGTATCGAGGTTTGAACGACAAATTGACTGGCGAGCTGGATGAACAGAAGGAGGTGGTTAAACGATTGACGGAAAATTATCAGGTGGGTGTCCTGACCATTTTACTTTTTTCTGATCTATGAATATGTAATAGAATAAAGGTTCAAATGATGTTTCAAGGGGCTATTCCTTTTTAATTTAAATCCTCACGAAAGAAACGATACATTCACACATAGAAAGATATTTTATAGATAAATCCATCTTTTTTATGTTCAACAATTGTTCCCAGGAATCGAAGACACGTCAAGAAGAAATGGAGTCGAGCTTTCGAGAAAACAAAGAAGAGTACGAAAAGCTCACAGCGAGGCTCGAAGTCGCCACGAAAGAAACCGAACGGCTGCTGAAAGAGATCGACGCGTTCAATGCGGAAAAGGACAGTGCCGAAGCTAGGATTAATAGCCTGGAGCAAGATCTACAGAAGTCGTTGTCGGAAAAGGAGGAGATTAAGAACATCGAGAGCAAAAAGATTTTGGAACTGGAGACACAATTGTCCGAGGAGGTCGCGGACAAGAAAAAACAGATAAAAGCCCTCGAGGATGCTTTGAACGAGATTCAAAGACTGAAGAAGACTGTCAAGACTGAGGAGAAGAGCGGCGATGATCACACCACGAAGGAAAATATCGGTATGTGTTCTGTAACTTATTTGTTCCACGAGGATCAATCCAAAATTCTATCTCCTAGTATTATAAAATTAAAGAGAATTTATAGATGACGAGGCTCTAGTCAGAATGATATTATTGATCCTGTTTCTGAACGTGTAAAAATTTTAGAATACAAACAGAGGATACATTTAGAGTAAATGATCACAAATGATTCAATTTTTTCTTTTCCATAATTCAATATTTTTCTGGAATTTTTCAAATTGTTTCCAATAGGTCCAAGTGATTCGACAAATGATCGTCAAGAATGTCCACCGATGAATCGCACGACAAACATAGAAGAATTAAAAAAAGAGCTGACTTTGAAAAGGGAAGCCAGGCAACGAGCGATCGCGGCCGTTTCGTCTGAAATGGAGCGACTCAGGCGAGAATTGGACGCGGAGAAAGAGGCTCATTCGGAGACGTCGAGGGTTTTGGATCTATTAAGGTCTGCTCAGAACGATGCGCAGACGCATGAGCAAGGTAGCGAAGCCGATGGAAGCTTCAAGAGATCAAGGTCCAGGGATCCGAAGCCGGATGAGCATGAACTGGCAATGAAACGTGTGGAAGCTCAACGATTGACGAGTATACTGAAGGTGATTCCATTCAAATGATTATAAACAGAAATAAAATCAAACAAATGAAAATTCATATTGTTCAATTTTGACTCTATAGACAAAGTTCCAAAGGTGTATAGTTAATATGTACAGGGAAAAAAATTCCAGTCCGTGGAAGATGTGCAGGACACTTGAATAAAATTTTCAAAGTTACTGTTTTCCTCCATGAATAGAAATGGTGAAAATGAATTGTAAAGTAGCTTCACGTATTTATTAGTTGGTTATAAGCAACATCGTTTTCCGATTTCAGGTCTCCGACGAGCTGCGAAACGACATACGCTTTCAAATCGAGAAAGTGGACGACCTGCGTTATCATCTGGAAACCGAGCCCGATCAGCATCGCTACCGCATTCGTTGCTTGGCAGACGTTACAAACAGGACGCGAGAGGCTCTCCACGCCAGGGAACGGCGTGTCAACGATCTGAAGGACCATCTAGCGCAGATTCTGGTCCGATTAGGGGACAGGAGTTTCTTGGATCATACGGACGAGGTCGGGCTGGAGTGCGAACGTCAGCTGGAGAACATCAATAGCCTGAAGAGCCTTTACAACGAGAGACTGAAAGTGCTGACGGAACTGAAGGACGGGGCGATCAAGGAACTCGTGGACGTAAAGGAGAGATTGGACCATTCGTTGAAGCAATCCGAGTGTTTGGAGGACGATCTGAGAAAGGCTGACGATAAGGTACAGTGTGAAATGTGAATTAGCATAGAGAAATACAATTTTCAATGTATATGTGTGTCACTTTTCCATGGGCAGATCGACGCCCAGGATACCGAGATATCGAATTTAGAATCACAGTTAGGACTAACCAAGGCGGACTGCAGGGATCTACAGAATCAGATGTCGCTGATCAATGGACTGTTCACGCAAATACTACTGGGTGCTTCCTCTGCGGATATGGACCTCGATCGACTGACTCAGTTACTTCAGGTAACATTCGATAGAACTTGTCTTTTTCTGAAACAGAATTGTGTTTACTAGATTAGGAAAATAATAATGGAATTAATCTCTCTGGGTTGTAAAGTCTGGATCGGATTAAGTCATATATTATAGAAAATTCTGGATCCATGAAAACAGGATGATATTCGAAATGAATTTTTCCTATTTAGGAGAATCACGATCTGATAAGTGACATGGCAAGAGAGGAAAGTACCGAGGCCGCAGCACTCCCGAAGCTGCTTCTGGACCTGGTGGAGCAGGTCGAGGGTGGGAAAGGGTCGCCGAAACGCGCCGAAACGGAAAGTGGGACTGAAAATGAGACGGACAAGAAGGAGGAGGATCTGCAACAGGAGGAAATAGCTCACAATCTGCCTAAGGTATTGATTATCCACGGACATATAATGGTCAAATAATACAATATTGATAGTTTGACGTATATCGTATATTCCCCCAGGTCTGGCGCGTTTTATTGGAGCTGCTGAGTTGCCACGCGGAAGGTGCTCAGACTGCATCGGTAGCCATGTGTTCGGACCCTAACAGTTGTTACAAGTCTGTGGACACACCTGCTGGGCCTCGATTAGTGATATCAGTTAGCAAAACGTACATTCGATTGAAGGAGTTGATTTTAGAAAAGAAACATTTGGAGAAGGAAATGAACAGGATGAAGCAGTTGAATTGTCACTTGGAAAGCAAACTTGGAGAACAGGTGGGAAATTTGATGGACTACCAAAGTTTTCTCTGTCTATAATTATCGACACTTTTATTTTTCTATCGCCGTGTTCGCCACATTGCGAACTGACCGACAGTATAATGGTCTTGCTTCGATTTTTTTTATTCATGTTTATTGATATTATCTGCTCAGGAAAAGAGACTGTCAGCGGTATCAGCGGAGCTGAGCAAAACATGGACAATCGTCGATCGAATGCAGGCGCAGCATCAGCAGCTGCACACTCACGAGAAGATTTTGCGGTACGAGCTGCAACAGAAGCGAAAAATGCTGCAGGAGTTGAAACAGGAGTTGGAGTACTGTCGCGAGAAATGGGAGTCCGCCAGACAAAAGAATACCAACACGGAATTGCAATGGAGAAGCTTGCGACGTGAATTCGCCGCGAGGAAAGCCTTGGCTGTTCATGATTCATTCAGTAACAGGTGAGCGACAGAAAAAGTATCTTTACGTTACGTATCTAAACAAAAATGGAAAAACTGAAGGCATCTTCGAAGATCTTGGCAAAAGTTTCAGATCAGAAAACCAATGTTTACATTTCATGTAAATAATATGTACAATTCATTGTAACATAGAATGTTATTAAAAACTTTCATTCTCCTGCAGCGCTGAGAGTGGATTCAGCGACGAACGAGGCGATGACACGGACGAGGAAGAGGATAACTCTGTCGAAGAAAGAATCAGGCTAGGCCCACGCAGAAGACCGCGAAAGGTTCGTCAATATTATTACATCTTCTTTGGCTAATATTATACAGGAATGGTTGTTCGAAATATTTTAACTAATGACTTTGTACTAATGAATAATGCATTGACTATTTTAGCCAATATTCCATTCTATACAAAATTTCCTTCAACACTTTCACTGCCACGTCACCCAAATATGGGTGACACGTACATTGAAAAGTGTCTGGATTATTTAAACACTGTTATAAAATGTTTGCATGAAATTAATATCACAGTATAATTTAAAACAAGACCTACAGCCTCTATTAACTAAACTCAAATATTTTTGACAATTTATAACTTAAAAAACGAAATAAAGTGTGTCTGGCTACGTACGGCCTTTTTCACTGTGGCAGTCAACGTGTTAAGAATTATTTATCACTGTTCTCGTACATCGGACATTAGTCTGATCAAGCAAATCACGTGGAAAAAATGAATCGAATTTGAATTGTATTCAGTAGAGTAAGAGAAGATAAAGGATTAAACTTTCCGAAATTCCAGGAAAGTCCCCGAGTGCCGTCACCAGACACGGAATCAGAGCAACCAACCGATACCGAACTGTCAGAGCCAAAAACAAGTTCCTCGACAACCCTGGAGCAACGAACTCCTACTCCAGAAACGGAAGCTGAACTAGAGGATGCTGAAGTAGCGGAAACTGCAATGAACGCTGAATCCGAAGATGTAATAATACTTTAATAATTACAAATGTCATTTACAGAAAAGAAACATTGAATATTTTGTATAAAACATTCCAGCAGTTGATAGACATCTCGCAAGAATCCCTGGATCCCCTAGACCAGGCTCTAACAAACGTAATCCAAAACCTCATAGGCATCAACGATTCAAACGCAACTTCGTTGGTCTTCGAGAACGAAATCGACGAATCGACTGTCACTGAAAACCCTCTAAACGATTCCTTAGCAACTTCTTTCGCGATGAACGCGACCATCGAACATTCTGCTCCAATGGAAACTTCCGAATCACTGAAAGTTACCCACGATAATTCCGAAGGATATCTCCGACCGGAAGTCTTGTTACCGGCCGATCAATTGATCACCACAGAAGACTCCGAAAAAACAACGGACATGGACGGTGAGAAAGTAAAGAACGAAGAACCCTCAGACTCGTCTGTGACTGACGTACCCACCGTAACTAGCCCAATCAGCACGCAGCCTGTGTTCTCTATCGGGCCCTTCCCCTCGTCCGCCATGACACTCACGATCATGAAAAACGTTCAATTCAGCGATCCTCTGATCGTTGGTCCGTCTAATCCGTTTTCTGCTCCAGTGTTCGGCTCGTCGCAATCAGACGTCGACGGTCACATCGAGATCGTATCGTTTTCATCGTCGTTCGACTCTTCGACGTCCGTCTCGCCCACATGCCATGACGGCGGTGAGCCTAAAAGCCTCGAGAAACGTGGCGCCAGGTCGACAGAGAGTATCGTTGACTCGGACAGCCTTTCAGTGGACTCGTCGTCGAGCTTGGAAACGGTGAAAGAATTCCCCACAACGGACCCACCCCCATCGACTTCTCCCGTCGAAGAGGAAAGAACGAAGAACGCAGAGGCCCCAGTGAAAGAAGAGGCCAAGGCAGCTGTAAAAGCTAGAACGCCGGAAGAAGCTTTGGCAGCCAGAGAGGAGAGACTGAAGAGGCTGGAGGAACAGGCGAAATGGTTGATGAACAAAATGAACGCGACCAGCAGACGAGGATCCGCGTTGAGCACCAGGCTCGAGGAACTTCACGAGGCCTACGGGGAACCACCTGCTCCTCCGCCTATGCCAGACGTTTTGCCTAGTCGAAGACTGAGGACGAATTTCACGGATCTACCTCGCCAGGTGAGATTACATCGCTTGTTCAGTGCTCGGAATTTTAGAGGACGTAACAGTTTACTAAGAAGGGAAGGCATGAAAGTGTTCCCCTCCGATTTTGATTAAACTTTGTATGTCTGTTAAGCAGTCAAAAATAAGGGATACGTATTTTTTTTGATCGGCTGAGACACGACTTTAAGGGGTAAAACCACCCCTCGAAGTTTCGACCTGAAATCGTGCATTAAACATTTCATATGTAATTTTTCTGCCGTCTTTATTTTTAAAAATGGCAGTTTATTTTTAAAAAATATGATAGTATTGAATTTCATTAGATAGAATAGGTTACTTATTGGTACACCCAATACAATGTACATAGCACCTACAAATCGAAAATGGTACTGAGTATGACCAGTTCCATCGGTAGGTTGTCGACAAAGAGGCTGATTTATTGATTTGTCACGGCCGTCTGAAGCATTCCCGAGAATAACCGTTTGTTCATTGTTTTCGTTATTCAGGTACCTGAATCATCGGGCAGCGTAGGTACCGAAAATATGAGAAAAACGGTACCGAGCAACGATTCCAACGAAGCACCGTCGGATAGCGCGCCTTGAGACGCCCACGAATTTTTATCGTACGAGGAGACACATATTACTCGACGGTTTATTTTCGTCGTAGACGGAAACACGTGTATCATCGGACTGTGAAAACGCGTTGGCTCTTATTGTAAAGTGGTGTATATGTAACTGAAACGAGCCAAACTCGTTTGGCTTCGATGCCAAGAATATAAAAAAAAAAAAAATTAAGACTCGACGTAGAAAACTAATCGTTACGATTAATGAATGTTGCAGGTTGAATTTTCACTTACTCGAAACCACCATAATCGTGACGAGAAGAAACTTTGAAATGTGTCATTATGTTCGAAGCCGGCGACGTTATTAATTAAGTATCTTTGTTATCGATGTGCCATATCGTTTATATATCGGTGTAAGTAATCTCTTGTTGTTCCTAACTGCGGAGAGTAAATGTGATCGCTCGTGAATCCGTTCCTGTTTTTGTACCTTCTATGATTGTACCTACTAATTTCTCTACGCACATAAAGAATCAATACACACCACTGGTGGGTCTTATTAAACAATTAACCCCAGGCCGATAGATTATTTTATCCTCGTTAAACTTACGACGGAACCAGCATGCCTCTAATGATTATCCTTCCCGTGAATCGATCGAAATTTTTAGCTGAATGTTTCGAGGAAACCGCCTCGTTAAAGCACAAATACACTTGCAACGGTGTACATTGATTGGTAACAATTACTTTCTAAATAAAATATACTTTTATCAGAAAAATGTCTGTATGTTTCATACCTCGAAACGTACGCGATTTTTTGTTCTTTTAAAGAAAGCAGGGTCGAAAGTGAATTCTACAAAGTTCTTGTTGATGGGATCGATATGTTTATTTTAAAATAATCAACGATTTTCAGGATGTAAAACTTTCTCGTCATGCACCTCCCGTCCGTTCAATGAATTCCTATAGCTATATGTATACGATAGATATGTATAATATTCACAAGAGGTCGTTTACCGTAGGTATAATAAAATTCGTACAAAATCGTGTGTGTAACAAAAACAGCTTTAGGTACGCTAAGTTCCTCAACATACGCGTCTTTCATCGGCCGACGACGATCGCAAATATTACGCGAATATTTAAAAAAAAAAAAAAAAAAAAAAGAAGAAATAATCGGTCGGTCGAACCGAGCATATCAATTATAATTGTCCGCAACTATTTTACGTCTCTTTACAATGATGAAAGTCACTCGATCTACAAGCAAACGCTGACACACATACACGCGCACGCACACTCGCGCAAAATGATCGTGAACCGGTTACCACGCACTCTGTCCGCAATTCTTAACGATCTATTACAAATAATTATTTATCTACAGACTTTATATCCTAGTATTGGTCGTCTACGTTACCTTTTAATCGGTTAATCTCATTTGTTCTGGCTCTCGTACCAATTAAAAAAGAAAAAGAAAAGAAAAAACCACTGTTTCCACTCAGTATCACAGTGCACACTGTACACTATCCGTTGCTACACTGACTGAAGTGGTAAGAATTACGATGACACGCGAAGTATAGACTACGTTGGCACGCTTGAAAAAGGACTGGTTGTACAAAAATACGGTACAAAGGTCTTATCTACAGGTATAAACCGTCTCGAAAAATATCTCTCCGCTAGTACATACGAACACGATGATTCGTCCCCTCCTCGACCTCGTCGTGGGACGGGCAATAAATCTTTAACATTGTCAAAATGTAAACATTACGAATTTAGCGCGAATTCCGATTACAACGTCCGTTAAATACGATTCTCAAAAAAAAAAAAAAAAAAAAAAAAAAGAAAGGAAAACAATAAATTATTCCGAGCGCGATTTCGCTCTCCTTCGTTAAGGCACCTCGAGGCTCCCTGATTTTCTTTTGTACAAGTAATTAGACTTTATAAACAACACAGCGTTAACATCGACAACATACGTTCGAGCCTGTCTCGTTAGAAAATATACGGTATCACTTCGATTTACGATTAATCACCGAGAATGTCATCCATGTGAGGTCACAATCTACTAATTCCGTTGAATTAATTTAAGTAACAGCTACCCGGGCTCGCGGCCCTTAACATTACCATAGAAAATACACTATTTATAAAACAAAAAATACAAAAGTCTTAAACATTTCGATAATTTCTCCTCTTTCGATCGATCGAAGAGGAAACTTCTCCGAATCCCTTCCGCATGGTCTGGATAACAATTACAGTACAAAAATATTGTTTTTTTCGACTATCTACCGTTCACTGGATCATCTGTAAGTATCTGTTCTCCTCGAGCAACGAGCTCAAGGAGGATGACATGTCGTTCACCACCATGTTGGCGCTGGTTGGCAGTGGTTGCGGCAACGACATCGGATGTGTGGAGCTGGAGACGTTGGTCTCGTGTGTGTTCGCGCTCTCCGACCAGTTTCTACACTGTTGCACGTACTCGAGTGTCCTTCTGTAAGAGTCTTGCCTCATCCCTAACGGTGGCTTCATCGGCGAGCCTTGTTGCGATTGGCTGATGTCCCTGCACTGAATCTCTGGCATGGTAGCACCGGGTTGCTCGTGGTAGCAATGATCGCCGTAGTTCCACTGGCAATTACAGGTGAACTGTTGGTGATTCGGTGGGTTCGTACGAGTCTGACAATTACACGTTTGCTGTTGTTGCATCCTGCAGGTGTTCGGTTGACCGGTGCAGAGCTGCGGTGACATTCGTTTGAGCAAATTATTATCCACGGCCGGCCGATGGGCCCCGTTCGTGTGCGAACAATTGGTCATCTGCATGCAGGGGGACACTGGTTGCGGCGGGGGTTGTTGTTGACATCCCTGGATAGCGGTCATGTTGGCCATCGGTTTCGTTTGATTGTTTATGCTCAACTGAGAGCAAGGTGACGCCATTTGAGGACACTGGTTCGTTACCGTGGTCTGCTGGTTGGTGTGTAGGTTCGACACAGGACCATTCGGTGTCATCATTGGCCTGGTGCATTGGCTGGTTTGGCTACACTGTGAACTTGGATGGTTCATGCCCGGTTGATTATGCATAACCGGTTGTTGATTGCAATGCATCGCCATCTGTTGACAATTCCCGGCTGGCCGCATCTGACCACATTGTTGCTGAGTCACAGGGCCATGATTCGGTGGAACGCAGGATAGATTCGTGTGGTGGTTCATGTGACCGTTCGGGTTCCCGGTGCAGCTAGCGTTCATTGGTCCCTGGCAGCCATAGTTGGGATAATAGCCGTGGTGCATGTGATTCTGTGGGCAGTTCCTGGTTAGTTGAGCGGAATTCTGAGGAAGATTCTGAGGGGCGTGTTGAGGCGCCAGGGCGCCGGCTGCTGGCGATGTCAGGGGTTGATCGCTTATATGGCTGGGCGCGTAATGAGATCCTGGTGACATGACTTGACCCGCTGCAGGACTGAGCACCTGGCCGTTCGGTTGCGATGGGTAGCTCGGTGGTGGACAGTATTGAGGATTGGGTGGAGCTGGCCTGGAGCTGGGACACTGGTTGTACGGGGATGGAGATGTATTCTGGTAATTCGTGCAAGTCGATTGGGAGGATGATTGTTGGGCGTAGCAGTGCTGTTGGTGGGATTGGTTGTAGTTGCAGATGGGTTGCATCGGACGCTGACAGTGCATAGGATTACTGCATACCGGTGATTGGCAGACTGGTAGGGGACTGCTGCGATAACTGATTTGGCTTCCACCCGCCTGAACCTGACATACATAAAATATACGAATGATTTGATAGTTCCCTGCGTTATAAGTTTAAAGGGATTTAATAAACGGAGGCTGATAGTATCTATAAAATTTACTAAATTTTACCTGATTCAAATACTGCATCATCTCGTCCGGAATGACCAGTTTGTTCTCCACCATTTCACCTTCGCCCACCTCGTCCAAAATCACTTCCTGATTCGGATGACGTTCAGGGAATTGAGCTGACCTAGGTCTAGGCGGCACAACCGGGGAATTTCTTTGAGCTTGTTGACCCCTAGCGGGCTCAGACATGCGACGGTCACCGGAAGGTTGCGTACAGTGGCCAGTTGGACCGGTCCACTCGCCGGGTACTCCGTGAAGACCCTGGAAGATTGATAAAAAATTATTTATACGCTCGTCACGCATGGAACAACGATCGAATAAACACTCTGTTCGAAAAATCCAGCTTAATTACCTGAAGGGACATGTTCTGCGTCTGGACAACAAGATTGCTCGTCGAGTACGGTCCTTGAAGATGACTGGGAGGATTCACTCTACCAGAAGTGGTGCTCATTTGGCTGCTTCTCCTAGACGTACCGGGGCTGATAGGATCGTAGAAGCTTCCAGGACCAACGTGGGCCATTCTTACGGCGCTGACACCGCTTGCCTGGCTGCTTCTTCTACTGCCGAACTCCGTGGACTTCATGCTACCGTAATAGGTGCTCACGGTTGTGTTACTGTCCCGTCTCGGCTCGTTCAGCGGTTGTAACCTAAGTTGGAGGTCTGACAGGCTCGTCTGACGAGCAGAACCACCGCTTTCCATTTTCAGGTCAGTGATCCTTCTGTTTAGGTCACCGATATTGCCCTGAGGGCCCATGCCACGCGTTCCTCTCAATCCAGAGACGACAGGCAGGCTGGGCATACCCTTTGCCTGTAATCTTCCTTTCAAACGGTTTCTTGACGCGGGCGCCGGGGCCTGTTGCTGTTGCTGCGACTCCATTCCACCGACCTGAAAGCAATTTAATATTAGATCACCGTATAACAAAGCAATTCATTTAATCTTCCTACAGCCTCCATTATAATAGCAGATCCTAATCTTACAGGTTATTCTGATGTTATTGTGCTTTCGTTCTTCAGAACTATGCGAAGTAATATACCATCGTAGAATTTATTAAATCAAATTGAACAAGGTCTTCATATTCTCGTGTTCTTTTAATTTAATAATTTCTCGGTTAAAGTAGTTAGTACAATGTTCAAACTCACCATAGCACGGAGAGCAACTGGAAGATCAGCGATATCCAGGTCATCGGGTTCTTCGTTCCATGGTTCCTCGGCGAGCACGACACCCTCGCCCGTCAACGCGCCGGCAGCCGCGACTTCATCGTTGCAGCCACCCACCAACGGGCTGCCTTGCTGTTGCATCATGCTGGGTGGACTGTTAGCCTCGCTCTCAGACTTCACGCTGGGGCTCGACAGGCTCGGCGTCTTCGGATGAAGGTCCTCGCTTCTGCTGGGACTGTTCCCGCCTGCCCCAGCCTCGTCGCTTCCACCGCCGTCTCCGCCACCGCCTTTGTGCTTTTTGTTCGCGTAAAATTCCGCGCCGTGCACGGTTTTCACGTGTTTCCTCAAGGACGACGGATCGGTGTACCTCTTGGTGCAGCCTGGCGCCTTGCAGACGTACGGTTTCTGGAAACGAATCCATGCCAGACAGATTAGTTTCGCGAAGAGGAGTTGATTTCTTCTGGTTACTGGGAACTCCCTAAGGCTATTTTAAAAGCTATAAGATGTAAAGTTCAAATTCCTCTCTGAGACGAATGGTCTGCAGTCAAGAGTTAATTTTTTAAGGGTATTAAGGATGTTCATTAAGGATTGACGAGGTCATTCTTAAGAATGTTTAGCATGTTGTCCTTCTGCAGAGTGTACATTCTCTTCAAGATATTATTTCCTTGAAATTCTGAAAAATTGTCCTTTCTGGAACTTACCTCGTTGGAATGAGTTCTATTCTGATGCTTCGCGCGGTCGCTAGCGTTGCTGAAGGCCTTGCTGCATCCAGGATATTCGCAAGTGTACGGTTTCTCGCCTGTATGTGACCTCAGATGCGTCTTTAGGTTCTCCAGTCGCGAGTAGGCCTTGAAGCATCCCTCGAACTGCACCCAGACAATAGACTGTTAGTATCAATTCTCATGAAACAAAGTATAATTCACGGTTCTGTATTACTCACGGTGCACTTGTGGGGTTTTTCACCAGTGTGCCTTCTCATATGGACGACCAACATGTACTGAGCCTTGAATGGCTTTTCTTCCCTGGAGCATTCCTCCCAGCCGCAAACGAAGCTTTTTTTATTCGCGTGAATGTGATCGTTATTTATATGTTTCACCAGATCGTCCTGGAATGTTAAAGGAAGCATCGTATTAATGAACGTGAATTGAAATAGAAAGTCTAGAAAGTTACTACGTTTTTCCTCTGTTATGCTGTATTTTATAATTCATATCACAAACATAAAATTATAGGAGGGAAAATTCATTTGAATGTTTTTCTCTGCCACCTGGACAGTAAGTAACTATTTATTAAAAATATGTAAAGGACACTGACCTGAGTCGGAAACTCGAGGCCGCAGTCCCTCCAATGGCAATTCGTCTCGATGAAATCACCAGGCTCGTCCCGTAGATCCTCGCTAGGGCTTAGTCCCTGAGGATGAGTCGGTGGCGCAGTCGTCGTGGTCGCGTTCGTGGTGGTCGTCGCCGGTTCTCTTTTCACCTTGGCGGATGCTCTTCTGGAGGACGTGTCTGCCTCCGCCGTGACCGACCTGGTCGACGATTCCGAGGCTTTCCTGCACGACTCCGCGCTCTGTCGGGCAGACAACCGATAATTAAGTTTCTCCCAATTTCGTCCCGATTCCTGTCGAACTCATCAAAATTCAAATTGCAGCTGGTAATGCCGGGGTGTCCCGGAATATATATTGCGCAACTTCTTTTGCATAACAGAGAAGTAACATCATTTATAAAACGACGACAGGTGAGCCGAAACTCGTGACTGAATCCACGTCGACAGTTGCAATTACTTTTTTTCCACAGTCTCTGGTTATAATTGACGAGCGTATAATGTTGCCTGAGATATTTCTACAGAGGAATTTAAAAACAAATGGTCTGAGATTCTGGGGACGTATAATGCTCACCGAGTACAAAATGTCTAATCAACCATACGTACTAATATCGATTCTTTTGTGGGATGTTCCCTTGTTCTAATGTATTGAATATAATTAGAAGAAATTGGGTTAGAAGTACATTAATTCAAGATTGTACGACAACAAACAATACGAGGTATGGAAGGAATATTTTAGGACATCCATCTATGATACACCAGATGTAAGTTTTGTATTGGAATAGAAGGAAGACATATAGGAACACCTGTACCAAATGTGAAAAGAAACATTTTCATTTTTTTCCCTTTACATAATCGTTCTTAGAACATATGCTCGATGAGAAATTTCTCCTCATCTCGGTGATTACTGCAAGCCAATACCTTACAATATATTTTTATCACCCTGTATACCTTAATTAAGCTTTGATTCATCGAAGTGGAATTGCAGTTTCTCTCGCAGCGATCGAATACTTACGACCTACCGAGCAGAATCTTTCATGACGGATATTATTTCCGGATCCCCTAATACCGATCATCGTCCAACAAAAGCGGACAGACGACGTTGCGTGTCCAGTCGCAATTTGCCCGATCGACGAATATTAATCTCGTCGGTCGATTCGGACAACAATATCGACGATCGATCCCTGACACCAGAAATTTTCTGAAGCGAACGCACGACTCGTGTCACGGCGTCGAAGCTCCCGTCGTGACACCACGATCCGCACGCGATCCCGTAATTATCGTTAACCGGTGCACACCCAAGATTCGATAGATCGACCGACCGGTCGAATCCAGTCCCACCGGAGGCGAGCTCGAGCGTTGATATAGACATAACTCGGAATATTCTCTCCGCCTACGATCGTGCGTCCACGGACCATACCGGTCGCTAAGGGCGAAACGGAGACCGGCGGGTGGCGGGCATTGACAAACGAGGAACACGCGGCGAACGGTAACGTCCTGGCTTGTTATTTCGAGCGTATTTGGCGCGGACTCACCGCCGGAACTATGTACACAGACGGAACATCGCCAGGAGGGTAAAGGGAATGTTCGTCAGGATTGTACTAACGGTTACGTTGTGGAGAGATGTAAATGCTTGCGAGACAATCTCACCTGGGGTCCCTTCTCTTTTGGGATCCTTGGACTTTTCGAGGGTTCTGCTCTGGGTAGTTTCTATTAGGTGCAGGGGAACCTGTTGTACCTTGAGAATATTCTTTTTTCACAAATCCTAAATAATTTGCAATCCTAAATAATTTTACTAAATATATAATATATATTTTAGTAGAATTATAAACGTTTTTAAAAAAACGGTAATTATGATCAACACCAGCTAGGTACATACCTCGGACATGTAAGTTGTTTTTGTTAATTATGTGGGATATGAAAGAGAGTGTCATTTGGTATGTATATTGTATATTATTCGCGAAGCTGGTTTTTGTTATTCTTCTTGTTGGGCGTTATTAATTATTCATTCATTCCGAGTTGTTACTCTGAGTTTTCGTGTTGTGTTATTATAATCAAATTGTGTTCGTGTTATTATATTTAATAATATATAATAATAATAATACAAATAAAAACCCTTCGAGGGCGACTAGAATATAAACACAAACTTTAGGAGACACTCGTCGAATGTGAAGTGAACTTAAAAAATCTCAACGACTTTGATGACAATTTTAAATAAATCTCGTCTCGATAATATTACAATCTTAACCAACAATACCTACGCCACCACAAATCAGCGGTGCAAATTGTGCAATCTGTATGAAACTTTACATACTCCTCAAATAATACAAAGTAATGTCTTTTGAAGTCTCAAAACCATTCACAAAATCTTCCCGAAAAAAGAAACCGTTCAAAAGCGACTTAATTAATATTCCATATAAACAAATCGAACACTGTCCACGAAGGGAATTCGAACGAAAACCCCCGCGAAATAGCATTCGAAGAACGAGGAAATGTTAATCGAGCAATCTAACACAGCTCGAATCCTTGCAACACCGGCAATTCCATCGAAGACCTAGCCGAACCCGATCCGAACTGTCTACACATACACACCGTTCACCAAGCAGACCTCTCGATTCCGTGGTCTCTATAAATCCATCGATCACACGGCTGGGGAAACGAGCTGCGAGCCATAGAAACAAGAATGGTAGAGTGGGGAAACCGTGGGTCCAATCCGACGACAACCTCAACGAGCGAAATCCAAGCCCATGCAATCAGCCCCGGTACTGAAACTTAACAGCGTGCGGGACAGCGCGCGATCGTGTCGCGGTTCGAAGAAAATGAAAACGGCCGCTGAACGTGGAATAAATCAGAGCAGAAACCGGAGGGACGCGAGACCGTGGAAAGAGGGACAGACTAGAAGGAAGATGGCGAAGACAGAGGAGAAAGGGGAGTGGGGAGGAACACGATTAAGAACGATGTTGAAGAAAAGGAAGAAAAAGAAGGTGGATAGAACGGGTGGAGAACGAGGGGAAGAGATGGAAGGTGGAGATGGAGCTGAGAGGCAAACGAAAAAAAGATAAAAGACGATGGGTTGATTCGTAGGAAGGGGGTGGATGGGGGTGGAATCTGGCGAAATAATGTGCGCGAGATTGCTTGTAACCCGAGGACCATGCGAGGGTAACCCAATCTTTTTCTCTTTCTCCCTTTTCCACTCTTCTTCCCTTCTCTCGCGTGCTACGTGCAGGATGAAGCTGAGAAGTCTCGTCGGCTGTTAGAGGGATGGACGAGGGGTGAGTGGGCGTAGAGGAAAGCGAGAACGATTATTTATTCTCGATGAATCGATGACGAGCTACCGAGCATACATCGCTCCACGGCCGGCAATAACAATCAGACAGGCACCTGTACGTCACGGCGCATCCTGCGATACGCACGTATCGCATATCATGCGAGCACGCGAGGTAAGATCGACCGCGCCTTTGCATAATTGTCGATCCACCGATTGCGCGCTGGCCACCAGTGTACACGATAATCACCGTGGTTAGTGATTTACGAGACCTAATGCGTTTCTCTGTTACTACCGGGCTTAACGAATGATTTGCAAAATCCGATACTGCTGGCGGGGTCGTTGGAGGAGTTGCGAGGTTTAACGAAACGGAGGCTACTTGAATTGGGTTTCGTTGGTGTTTTGTGAGATTCTTAGCCAGTGCCGTTCCTGGCCAAATTCAGGGGCGGCCGCAGATCGTTTGTTTTATGTACAACTTGGACTAGTAAGAATGATAATCAAAAGTTTTCCGATGCTTATGATCATTTTAGACCGACAGAATTTAAACAAATTAATTGCATATGTAATGCTTGTAACAGTACTCGTATACTAGAAACAACTATTTTTATGGGCAGCTTAAAGTAGCATATGATATTTAGCCATATTTAGTGGAGTAAATTTCTGTAGGTTATTAATAATCGCTATTCATCAACCATGACATCATTATTACAAACATTATGTGTTTAGTTCGCTCATGATATGTATTCCCATTATCTTCAGTTCCAAAGTTCGTTTTTGATCGATTTTTCTCAATTTTGAAGTAAAATTCGCATTTTGGTCAGTAATTTGGTCGAACAAATGCGACGACCTTTCGTGAAATTTTTTTCTGAAAATCGCCATTATTTTATTCGTGAAGGATCAACTGCCCGAAAAATTGGTGTAAATGTGTAGAAACTGATGAGGAATATTATCAAGGCTAGAGTATATTTTGATTTTTTGTAAACGAACAAGATATCTATGAAAAGAAGGCAACGAATTAATTTGCACACTTGGTAATTCCGACAGGTTACTCGACTCACCTCGGATTTCGGTGGCAGTCCTCCATGTGGTCCCAATGTCGCCGAAGCCGTGGAATGAGGTGGCACACCGGGGTACAATTGCGAATGGGGCGACAATCCATGAGCGTGAGAGTGTGGATGTGGCGGCGGTGGTGGCGCAGGGGGCTGCAAGGGGTGAGCATGAGGTAACAGGGCCGCGGCGGCTGCGCTCCTCAAAAGATGCGCCTGAAGCTGCTGCAGGTGCGGCGCCATTCCAGGGTGCATTCCCAAGGTTGGACTCATTGCTATAAGAAAACAAAAACATATTCCATGTATTCGGTGTACCAGCATATAATCGACTATTTCTTGACAGAAACGTTATTCGTTTTCATAGAATTCAAAGACCTGATTGTTTAAATTGTATTCATAGTGATTTCCCCACAGGCTACACCACTGTTACTGAACAGAAAGTTCGAGAAAGATACTTGTAATTGAAAATACATCGCCTCGTAATTTAAAAAAAAAGTAGTAGATTAGGTACTTAAGTAATAGTCAATTAAAAGTTACGAATTTTATCGTGAATATACAATTTACTGTAAATTATATAGGTGTTCATGAATAAGTTCAGCCATCTTGGATAAATGAATTTTGAATCTATACCCCGATGTTAACCGAACTTTAAACACGTTTCAATAATAACGAAAATAATAGAGAAATTAAATCAATAAACGAAGAAGAATTTTACTTCGTGTAACTAATGTCAATTACAATGTTCCCATAATATAATATAACGAAAATTACAGTGAAATTAAGGAATCACAGGCAACAATCGACAACAGTATCAACTGGTGTTCGACTATCGTATTTCCTTTTGCATTCATCAACAATTCATCACGCCCGATAGAAAGTCCCGCGAACATATACACTTTCTCTATAATTAATAGCGAGGAAACGCACCGTGACAGATGGAAAATCGATACCATAGGTGATACGGGAAAAAATCGGTTCACGAACAAATTATTCAACCAAGCGGAGATTTCTTCCGGCGATACGTTTGTCGAAGGGAACATAAACGACGGCCGTGGCCAAGCGTTTGTTAATAGTTAACACGAACCGTAGACAGGGGTGGCGATACGAGGATAATCGATAGAGATCGAAATCGGACCGCGTTCGTACGCTTGGACAGTCGGAGCACGGCACGCCGGACTTCCGGCACGTAGCTCGAAGCTTGCATTTCAATGTTAAAGTCTTCTCTTACGAAACCATTGAAGCTATAATAGCGATCGTGTAGGCCGTAAGAGACAGAGTCTTGTAAACCCGTCGTCGACGAAAACAGTTCTGATAAACGTCTTGTTTAAGAGGAACAATGTATAAACAATGTGAGTGAATATTGTAAGACTGCTTGAATCAAATATTATCGTTCGATTCAATCGAGACCAATCACTGATCTTTATATTATATTAAGATAAGCGGTCTGTTCCGAATTGAAACCATCTTGTATAGAGGTAGTTTATCAAGTGTGACGTCACACAACGATGTGAAAGATTGCAAGGAATTCTCTGACCAAAGCAAGCAAGGATGAGTTAAATTGTGAATAATATTTTATATTGTACATCTTTTTAAATATTACATACGAATTGTACTACGTTACAAAACATATATATTTTAAGTTTATGTGAATTTTTGTATCCGTTATGTAATTTTATATTTTATTGTACATGTACTTTTATTGCTAGGAATAAAATTGTTTTCATATTTATATTTAATGTTCTTATATTAAGATGAATCAGTCCATTATCTATTTTCTTCTTTTAGTCGATTGTCATTTTAGGATATACATTTCTTTTTATTTTTTATTACTTTTTTCATTCCAAATAATAATTTCCGTCTTACATACACGTGTTCATTCGGTAGGTACATTTCCCTTCATTACTAATTCAAATTTACTGCTGAAAAGTGGGACCTGCCTCTATACAAAATGGCGGTCAGTGTCTTCAATTCGGAACACGAGTCGAGTAAGTATACATATAGAGATTACTGAAACCAATCGATTAGAATCGAAGCGAGCGTGAAACACCAGTGCCCGCCTTTTCTCGCGCCAGTGTCATCGCTTTCCCGTGCGTTGAACTCTCCAAGCTCGGCACGCCGTTTCGACGCTGTAAATTGTCCCCGACCATGATAATGTCGAAACGAGTGAAATTGTTATTTAACAACACGGTGGCTTGTTACGCGATAATATATTAATACTTCGGCATTGGCATAAAGGTTGTACGATTAATCGTCACGGCTAAATTAATCAAGGTCCCATATGGTCGTGCGATACGTGACGGGCTTTAAGAATCACGATTTCTTCTAATCGAAGCGATCGCTGCCCCTATCGTCGGCCTATAAATTAGCTTCGATAATATTTATGCTCTATTCACGCGTGCGGGCATGCACACATTCAACCAGCCGCTGGTATCGTTCCCCTTACCCTATTTCCATTTATACCGTGCATTTATCGGTTGTTACTAGTAAATACTGGATACAGAGTACGACATCGATGTTTTCACAGTAACGATTCAATTAAACCGAATTTCGTTTCGTTCAGGTGTAATCAGGTGTAACGATTGTAACGAAAAGGAAATTATTACTGGATTGTTGTTGTCGGGCAACTTTAGCTCGATGGACGCGGAAGATCTTTTGGAACAGGTACCCCAGGTTAACCCACTCGCTGCATCTTTATTTTTCATGTAATCAGGAACCAATAGTCAATTTCAGATTATTTCAAACATTTCTTATAAATACTTTTGCAGGTGATCTTTCGAAAAACACCCGATGACTTTGACGTAGGTCATAGCAAGGTCACTCTACCGAGTAACCTTCAAAAGGTTTAATTTTCAAGAGTTCTTTTACTTTTTAAGATCATTGGTTATTAAAAAGTTATTAACACAGAAGAATTGAAAAACGTACCGTAATTTTCCCAGAAATCTGAATTTTTGAAATCTCTCTCCGATCTAGAGGCGGTTCAAGGAAAAAAGCGATCTTGATAACATATGTCAAGCTCAGGGTCATCGGGTGTGGGTGTTTTCTCATTTATTTATTACTTTATCCGAACGATTTTTCTGAATCCATTTGAATTCAGCCCTAAACCCAATAATTACATACACAGATAGTCTCGTCACCTGTTTCGTTTGATTTCCCAGACGCAAAACGATCCCAGCACTTAACACGCCGCTTATCCCCCCGTTACTATGTGTACCACGTCTAATTTCTACCGATCCAAACAACCCGTCACGAACGTACACAGACTCCTCCGAACAGTCTGGGAACAATCTTTCCCGTATCATCGGCCGTTTACCAGTCCGCTGGGTTACCATCGACAACGCAATCAAGGCCCCCATTCAGGGTGCCGTCACGTACGTGCGCCGAAGTACTTAGGCGACCGGTCACGCCCATGTATGCCCACGGTCCTCTAGTAGTCGGTGGCTCGTAAAACCGAGCACACGTTGCGTGCCCGTGGACGCTTAACGATTAGAAGCGCGCCGTGTGTCTCGTTTCGAGGGCCTCGCCGTATTACCGATGTCACGGCGAACGTCACGCGATCCGAGGGGTTAAGGGAGACCCCGAGGCGAATCCATTTATTCGAACAATTTCACCGTGGTTCGATCGATTATCACAGGAGTGTTATCTGCTTCCTACATACACACACACACACACACACGAACCGATAATTGTAACCGTATAAGCGCATGTTAATTCAACCTGTGTAGCTACACCTGACCGACACACCGCGAACAGGATTATTATCGATAAATGGAAATTACAAGTGCTACCGGTTTTTTCATGGCACTCGAAGATTCGATCGGCTTCGCCGTAAAATTTACGTCTTCATTCTCCGACGAACGACAGAGGGAAAATAAAAATTCTTCCCAACCGTGTGGCTAGAAACGTTCCCTCGACAATATTTCTCACGAGGCGCATCGATGCCGCTCGTCGCGAATACAAAATGAATATAAAACCGAGGAATGCTCGAACCGCCTACGATCCTTCATTTAAGAACACTATAATTTTCCGGAATCGGCCGTAGATATACACACGTTTGCTCAGGAAACCGGCTATCAGCCTCGTACGACGGACGATAATCGCTTAATCACCGAGCACCGGACTTTCTCTTCTGTGCGGCGCATCAACGCGGGGACCGCCGATGACGTATGAAAAATTTAATGAACCGTGGTGGATACACACTGGCTCGTACTCGCCGACGACGATAGGCGCGAAGAAATTCTTGTCGGTTTAGGACGTGTGGGATTGTTCGCGCGACGCTTGGTCCTGCCTCCAAGCGGGGATAATTCAGCCGTTCGTTGAATATTAATATTCGAAACGTAGGATGCAGTGTCGTCGAAGTTTGGAGTAAATATAAGGTATCATTAAATTCTTGGAGCCGGGAGATAATGTCTTTTGTCTTTGCGATTCACGGAATATTAACACCTTTCCAGCAGGCAGCCTATTAATTGGCTGCTCGATTTCAGTGTTTAATCGAGAAGAGAAAGGTATTAATTTATATTTTAATCTGGATTAAAGAAGAAACTGTCACGTTGTAGTATTCAAATTTTTCCGTTTCTAAATGTCAAAATATACATGTGCAAACTAGAATAATTGAACGTATGAATCAGTGTTTGCATAGGGAATTCTATTCACTTCACGTTTCATGACTATGAAGCATATCTCGATAAATTAAATTTAATTACACTTGAGAACAGAAGAAAAATATCAGATTTACTGTTTCTATATAAAGATCGTTAATGAACGCATCGTTTGCGAAGAATTACTTGAGAATATTCAATTTTACATACCCACGCGTAAGTTAAGAAACCATAATTTGTTTCAAGCTCAATTTCATTCAAGGAATTATGGAAACTTCAAACCGTTGAACCGCATATACACGTTCCACAACCATTTAAATGCTTCTTTTGACTTCATCGACATATCATTTAGCACATGTAGACGAAAATTCTGTATTCAATATATAAAGTCTGTATTCACCGTATTTATTATAATTTGTAACTAATTAATTTTTTTTTAAACTAATTTCTTTAATTACCACCATTTTTTATGTACCAACAGGGGTTTTCGTTCGCCTTCCGAGGGCTAAAAGTCTAAACACTAGCGAGACCATCACACAAAGTTCCCTCGAAAACTAAGTGAATCGACCGTTTCTACTCAACAAAACATTCCCCCAAATACAATAAATGACGAAGGCTCTAGTGCATCTCCGATAAATCACAGAAAATCCACAAGACGGTCTCGTTTCGCATCGACGTTAATTCTCGTTCATTCGGCGTTCATCATTGGTTCCCGAAGTCAAAAAACAAAAGAAAAAAAACATTGCAGGGACCGTTATCTTACTTGTCCGAGGCACCTGTAAATCCGGGAGAACCCAAACAGGCTGACGTTAAACACCGTCAGATACTGTCCCGTTGCATCGGGGAAACCAAAATTACCACCGATCGCTCGCGTGACCGTGCATCGAGATCACTGCATCGTTCCGAACGATGAAAGATCTTCCCGTAATTAGGACACCATCGATCTTCACGGAATACCGTGGCGATCGCAACCACGGTATTCCCAATGTGGAAAAATGAGGGGCATCACGAACGCAAATTTAACGAGCGGGGCCCCTCAGGATCCCAAGGCGTAGCGGAGGGGGTAAGGGGGTGAACATCGTACACGACGTCGCAGGGGCCGACAAACGATCGGCGATCGCGTCGCGTCGGTTGAATTTTAATCCGTTAATTACTTCATTTAATCGCAAATTACCCCGGCCGCTCTTAACTCGCGAGCAAGGAGGTCCCTGGCCGATTTGTGGGGCGTACGCGCGATTCGTGGACCGCAGCCAGCTTTATAATGGCTTCATGCGCGCACCGGCCACCTTAATTCGATCCCTCGATCCCTTCCCCCACCCCACGCCATGTGTGTCTCAGGGCCCCTTCCTCGCGAGCCCTTAAACGTCAGCGGAGCCGATACCCACAGGAGGACCGTGGGCCCATTCCACGTTAAAGCTGACCCACCACCGTCCAATGACTTTATTCGTTTCGTACGGGGCCCATGGTAATTATGGTAATACACCGGTCAGAAACCTGCTTTTCCTGGGAATACCAGACGCCTTGGTTACCGCGGACATTTTACGACTGATGTTAAGACGTACCCCCTTGGGACCGGGGAAATGATATACGACCGTGATGGGAGAGTGGGGCGAGAGGGGGGGGCGTCTGTGTTGATGATATTCAAGTGAATTATGCAAGTCCCCCCGCGGGCGGGACTGGAGGTGATCGGAGACGGAGGCGCATACCTGGAGGAGGGTAGAGCGGGGGGGCGCGTTTAATGGGGATTGTTAGACTGGCGATAAAATTGGCTCTATAATGGTCGTAAAACAGGTGGATCTTCTAGGATCTCCTGTGGCGGATGATTATTCCGTGACTTTTTCTTTTTTTTTTTTTTTTTTTCTGATTCGTGTCTCTCTGTTTCTCTCGAACAACTCAATTTCACCCAGTATGAATACATACGAATGAAATGACGGCGGATTAATTGTTCGATGGCCGAACGCACGAACGTTTACCGACGCGAGAAGCTATTAATTGTTAAAAGCGTATTTAATTGAGCGTGTCATTGTTCCGTTGAACGGAGACATTACGAACCGTCTCATGAATAAAAGAGCAGACGCTCCTTGACGTCTCACTCTCACGGAACGCATTAATAATTCTCCTTATCGGGATGTAATTAATTCGTATAAATGCCCGGAAGGATCCTACCACGCTATCGGGTGTCTCGTCAAATTAATTCACTGTGTTTTCATTATCTTCTTCGGTGTCGACGAAATATATTTGTTTCTTAGTTCGCTTGTTTACGCGAGCAAAAATCTGTTGGAAATTTTGCATGTAGTAAAAGCTCGATAATTGACGGTCCGTTGATTGATCGCTAAAATCGCCCCTCTACAGTCCACCCTACATCTATCTACGTCGAACAATGGAACAAACGATCTCCGGGAAGAGCACACGTATAATTCGAGCCCGTTAATGATCGATTCCTAAAAATTTGGCCCTCCGCAATGATCAATTATCGAGTTTCTACTGTATTTCGACACTAATCCCTAACCTCAGCCTCTTCGAAGTTCAACAGAAAATTCTCCCTCGATTAATCCCTTGTTTGTAGGGACCTTGAAGCGTTCCATCAGCCGCCATCTTGGATCCACGAGCATAAAGTACCCAATTTCCCTTACCAAAGCCGATTCCCCGCCTGCGGGCTGGGCTGTTTACGAGCTTCATTTATTCGTCGCGTGGTAGCGCGGCAATAACACGGGAAAATACGGCCGGTTGCGCGGTAGTCGCATTAACAACTTCTGCCCGGGTACACGTGTAATTACACGGGTATAATTCACGTATCGCGTATCTCGCGCGAAACGTTTACGGCCGCGTCGAGGGCCAGGATCGCCGCCGCCACCGCCGACGTCGACGAGTTTACACGACGGCGTCGGTAATTACGGGCAATCAATCATCGAACCGGAGTCGGGGGACGGTGAAAACGTTGGCGGCGACCGGTAAACACACGGTGACTTACGTTTTCGGTGAGTATCGTGCGCGGGTGATCTCTTAATTGCGGGTTCGCCGCCCCTCGCCGACGATTCGACGGGATATTTTTTTCACCGAGTGTAAATCGCACGGGAACGTCTCTTTCTGTCTGTCCGACGAGTTCCATTGAAGGAGAACGAATCATTACGACGGGCGTAGAGGTGTTTCTGTGAAAGACTGATCGAAGAATGAGGGGATTTTTCGCCCGAATTTTATGGTCCCACGATTTTGGAACTGCATTTCCTGTCGAATGATACCTGATGATGACACATCAGTTACAATAAATTTTGCAAGTTGAGCTGACAATTTGTTTCTGAGATATGGGAGATCCAGGAGGTCTTAATTTATTACCGCGTCACCTTATACGATTCAATGAACGGAGTTTTATATCAGTTTGAGAATTTAAAAAATTGTTACTAGCTGTTTGCCTATTTTAACGACGAATTTGTCGAACGAATGACTCGATACGGTGGACGATATATTTAAAAAAAAACTCCTTGATTTTTTAACACGATGATGGGTACATTACATATACAGTGGGCTCTAACTATATTGCCATGGTTACGGCTGCAGGGGAGTAAAATGGCAATAAGTTCAGAGTCCCCTCCATGCTAAGTTCTATCGTCATAGCCTCGGCCTCAGCGCTTGCGTAAAAGCTGGGGCGTGCTAGTGCGCCGGCATACGCAACATGGTGGGAGAGCAACTTTGTGTGCTCGAAAGTACGTGTGAAGGGGAAGTGCCTCGCGTGGCAATATGTTCAGTGGCAATATAGTGAGAGTCCACTGTATCAGGATTTGGTATATGTGTCACAGTAAAAGCGTGAAGTTTAGTAAACGAAGACACTTACTAGTCAATATATGCATGTACGTACGATTTTAGCAAAAATATGAACCGAATATTACTTCTAGTTAATTTATTAGTAAGTACATACACTGACTAGAATATGTATACATTTACTGAATTGACGCTTCTACTGTAACATATACAAACGATGTTCTTCTGACACGATAGTTATTTCCCCTGTTAGTCAGCTGCGTTTTAATCGATCACACGGTACATCAACACGGTGAAGGAATGATCCAACGAGGCTGACAGATAGAACGTCGGCGTGTAAATATGGTTGCTTACCGGCGGAAAGATGACCGTAGCTGCCGCTCGCGCTGCTGCTTCGGGATCCATTCACGATCGAGGCCAGACTATTCGGGCTAAAACGGATCATGCTGTCGATGTCGAAGCGATCGGAGTACGGGGAACTGCTTAGCGCGCGTTTCCGGCTTGCACGGATCGTCGAGGAACGGGGGCTTCCCAACCTCGATGACGCCGACACTGAAATGTAAAATGGAAACATGTTAATTACATTACGTTATTGTCAGTTGGTAGAGTTTTTTATACAGAATATCATCTATTGGATTCTAACCACGGATTACGTTAATTTTTTTAATTGAAAATTCATAAACAAACGAGATTCTCGAAAGTCATCGTTTTACCAAGTGTTGAAGTCTCCTGACTTCCTTTATTTATTGGATTGAAGATCAGTTTTTAGAATATGTATATATTTTATTAGCTGGCAGCAGTGTTCTTTATTGAAAAACAAAGGGAGTATCATCTACTGCAGAAATACGAGATTACTTTTTAGCTAATCCAATATACAGATTCCTCTCGATTATCGTCCGGCTGGTACTACACGATTATTGTCCAGGCGTTATACCCACGATTGGGCGGGGGGAGCGTGGAATCCGTGAAGCACATACTTTGTTGCCTTTTCGCTTTTGTTGTCGAGGCTCGGGCTTTGAAGAAATCGATTTTACGAGGGTTTCAAGCATTTCTCCCTATAAGATTATTGTCCCGGCGCGGACCCCAGTTAGGGACGATAATCGAGAAGAGTCTGTTGTGAGTAGACTACGGATTTTAAGCGTTTATAGCCGATAAAAGGATTACTCGCTACGTATTCCAGAAATATCAGTATGTAAGCAATGTTTGTTCTTTTACACTCTTCGTCACAAATATAAAATAGTTCGCTGTATTTACGAGAAAAAAAATCCATAAGAAAGGTGTTCATATTTCATACGAAGGAAAGAAATTATTTAAAGGTCAGACATTGAAGTCTCCACGCTTCAATATTTCTTTATGCACGGTACTCTAATGCATATCATTCTTTCAACTGTTCAAAAAAATACAATAAAAGCAATTCCAAAAGGTATCGTTTAACGGGCGTATGGAAATTTCGCGAGCAACCACGAAATTTCCATGGCAAACTGAACGATACTGCCGCGGGAACCAGTTCAATTAAACGTCACGAATTCTTGCAGCGTGTAGTACACGGGAAATATTCTCGCGGGGGCGAAGATTCGAAAAGTCCGGCTTTCGGTGCGTGCTCGTAACCAGGTAGATATCCAGAACTAACCAGAGACGGCGAAGGAGAAACGGGAAAGAAGGAGAGGCGATAGCAGCGAAAGGAAGACGGCCGGTTCTGCGGCCAGAACGTTTTAGCGGCGATTTGCCTGCGACCGCAGGCCAACGACGTAATACACAAACCACTTTCTTAAGCTCGTGGTGGCGGCTCTCTTGTACGGACCATCGTTGGTTATATGGTGGCGGTTCTCCGGTTCTCCGCCTCCCTCTCTCTCTCTCTTCGCTTCGCTTCCTCCTCTCGATGCCCACCTTCCACGATTCTGTTCTTCGTCGACGTTTTCCTTTTTTATTATTTTCACACCTCTCTGTTTCCCATAATTTTCCTCCAGTATGATATCCTATTTCAGTTCTCCTCGAGCTTGAACTCGACTTTCTTCCCATGGATATTTTCAGCTTCCAAATTGCTACATTTTGAACGTATACAGGGTGTTTCCGAAATGGTGCAACCCGAAGAAACGGGAGTATGGATGCTAAAATAAGTCGAAAATGTGGAATAATATTTTTTTAGTATGATGTTTTATTTCCAAGATAATCAATTTTTGAGATTTATCTAGAGCAGTGGTTCTCATCGTTTTTGAAGCCGTGACCCTCTTTCGAACGAGACTTTTTCTTACGACCTCTCAGAGGGTCGCAATTGACGTCAATTTTTTTTTTTTCTAAATACAAAATATATGTATACTAATACTATTTTTTGTGATCCCCCAGGGGGTCGAGAAATGGCCAAAAACGAACTTGATAATTAACCTACCACAAACTTATCATCATACTCAGGATTGATTCAAGTACATATAAACAAAATATTCCGTTACAAACAAAGAAATTAAGAAAGCAACCCAAATTGTCGATACAGTTTAAGTATCAAGCTTAAACAGTATAATCGATAAGAAAATAAAATAATCAATTCGATCGCCATATTGAGTTCGTAATTTTAAATTTACAGTTCTTGACATAAAATTCAATGATCCCGAAAATTCCTCACTATCGACTTCCATGCAAATTCGATCCAAAGGAAAATAGTTCAAGTCGCCATACTGGATCCGCCATTTTGATTTTAGTTTCTTTTATCAATTTTGGATACGTCTACTGATCCCCTGGCTCATTGTGCGCTGGTACAACACATTATAAACGTGCAAAAATACAACGGTTCTACTTCTTCAATTCTTCCCGTTTTGCGTATCACGTCTCATTTTTCGATTCGCCGAGGAACATCCTCCACCCGTCGCTCGTCCAATTTTTTCAACCGCCACCTCAACCGTTTCAACCGTCTTCTTTCCCGCCATCTCTGTTTCAACTCCCTCGCCGTTCCTCCGGGGGACTCCTCTATCTCCCCATGTCGTCTCGCACGAGCAACGCGATACAGAGAGCCACGAAGGTGGTTTCGAACCAGCTCTTTCTCCTCGGTTTCCACTCGGTTGATCGCTCGTTCGCGCACAACGGGTATAGAATTACTCGCGGCTGGGGCCTCCGTCCTTCCCCCCTTTCCGCCGTCGAACGAACGGGCCTCTTTTATCCCCTCGCCACGGGTTTTATTAATTCGAGCACTGATCAAATTTACGGTGGTCAACGAACAGAAGAAGGAGAGAAAGAGAGACAGGGGAAACGGCTGCCATGCGGTTTTTCCGCATGAGCTGTAACGTTTAAGGTTCCTCGACGAGCCTCGTGGCTGGATCCAGGTCGTTTCGGCTGCCTCGATCGCCACCATCGTTTTCGGGGCTGGGGGTTCTCGTTCTTGTACCGTAATAAAGCGGAATTTCATTCTTCCCGACCGCTCGTTTGCGGTTTCTTGCGAACTTTGTATCCCGAACCGGCAGAAGCGAATCCGTTGTACAGGTTTTGCGCGACTGCTCGGCTCAGACAGTGTTGCGTTTGCTCGATCTTTCGGAACTCTTGTTACAAGATTTTTTTTCGGGGCAATTATCTCCAATTTAAAATTATGTTTCGTATATGAAACACTGGTACCAATGAGCGTTGAACACCACGAAGTGAATCGGGCGGAGAGTTCGTCGGTCTGACCGATGATTCGTTGATTCGATGTCTAGATGGCTGATCAAAATCGGCACGATCTCCTTCGGATTATCGAAGTTCAATGTAATCTCTTGATAATGTACACACGTTCAGATTATATACTAGATATTCTTCTGGATATCAGGTTACGTATTTCGAAAGGTTATTGATAGCTTGAAACCGAATGACAACGAAATACTCTAACGATTCACTGGTTGCAGGGTCGACGTGTCTGAACAAAAGCGACTCGATCTACTTATCGAACAAAAACCAGACACCGTGTATCAAATGGCAACTCGGACGATATTCAGTTCAGCTCTTTAAACTACATACCCTCCACTTCGTCGCAAAAGTGGTAAATAAAGTAACAATGTTTACAACAGAAGCTATCGGACAACAAAAGTCTATTAAAAAATGCGTAAGTGTAAAAGAACCAGTGGGATCAGCATTGAATGTATACTAAATTAAATTGTATAATACAGCAATATAGACAATATATAAGACAATCTAGCATAATATACCATAAAATAAAATCTGTCGTAAATTGAAAGCTAACAATAATTCCGTCAAAAGCATTATAATTTCAGTAATGGTAAAATAGTAAAAATCTGTAGTCCGTCATTTTGACAGGTTTGGTAGTTCTACTGTTAAAAATGAGATATTTCACAATAAACCACAATTGACATTTTTCCTCGCGATTCAAGGATCCACAAGTATTCAGGATCGACGATGTCTGGACGCTTCTATCGGTCCTTTTTCGACACGCAACGCGCGGACATGCATCATGATTTCTCGATGCAAATGAATATGCGAATGATTCTCGGCTGGCCATCCTCCCCCTCTTCCTCGTCTCACCCCCGTACGTCCTCGTGACCCACGACCCTTTGGACTCTACACGCTCCTTACGTTCCAATCCCCTCTTCCCCGTGCCCCTCGCTGGGCTAACATGGGATTGAGACATGTAAATTGGTGCAATCGGCCACTCCGATCGGCGCGGCTCATTCGACGCTGCTCGCCCCGCATCCTATCGTGCTACAGGTCGCCTCAAACGACCAATCCCGTGGCCGTTTCTACATTGACTCCACGAGGATTTCACGAAGTTCATAGAAACCGCATTAACCTTTAACTACAGACTGTTCGTCTCCAAGACGAATAAGTCGAACAACGACTACATTGTAGCGCTTCTAATAACCAAAGGAATGGTATTTTACCATTTTTCTGGAATATATTCGAAGCTTCTAAAATTTCTCAGTGAAATGAAAATTCAGATAAGTCTCCGGGGCGAGTAAGTAATTAAAGTATAATAATAACAGCTGATAGAAACTGACTTCCAGACTGTGGATGGTTCGGTAAATAAGGTCTTTTCGAAATAATATATATTGGGCACTACAAGACGGAATAATACTTTTAATTTACTAATCACTTTTTTCCGCTGCCAACGTTAACATTGCCTGACAATAAACGATTCGTCTAGAAATTTCTTCTGGGGGTCCTTCGGAATTTGCCAAGTGATTCGAAGCTAGCGATTTATCGATACCTTGGAGGAACCTCGTGCTTTGAGACGTTCACGCAGGATACAATGTAGACCGCGAATAAATAACGTTCACGAGGATAACTCGATCGAACGCCACAGAACGCATTACATAAAAACAAGAGGGGCTCATGACGAAGAAGTGGAGGTGGAGCAAGAAGACGAAGAAGAAGGAGACGAAGAAACGTGAGACAACCTGTAGGGTAGGCGCTAAGGTGTTAATGAGGTCGTGTCGCTCCGAGTCGATTCAATTATGCGCCGGTGGCGACTAACGAGGCCCCCGTTTACCCTTTCAGTCGTCTTTTAGCCTCTCGGCCTCTTAACCGGTCGATCTCCTACCTGCTACTAGCGCTACTACACCTACGGCCTAGTCGAGTGCAACGTGGATGCAGGATCTTTCATTAGATTCACTTGTCGTCCACGAATGTACTCCGCTCGAGAAAACCATCGAATTTTTGTGTATTGCCACGAAAGCCAGTGATAATATGGACACCCGTGGAGAATCTGGACTTGGAGGAAATATTTTCAAAGTGTGAAATTGTATTAGTTACATCGATCATAGCGATCTGGACACTTGGCGTAGAAGAGATTATAAATCGTTACTGGAATAGAGTGGGGGGAATGGGGTAAACACGAATGCAATGGTTATGGCGTGTTAGAAAACGAAAACTGATCTTCTACCTCTACTAGCTGAGAGTTTAGCACTCGTATCCAGTGCTGGGAAGAAAGTAGCAAACAGAGGCCACGCACGTTGTTCAAGATAAATAAAATTTAGTATTTTCATCGTTTTGCAAGTAACATTTTATGCATTTTCAATTGTATGTGGTTTGTTGTATTGAACTATCAGCACTGAATGTATGCTAAGTTAAATTGTGTAATATATTAATACGCGCAATATTATTGAATTACAATATTATGAAATTAGAGTAAAAATAAAGTATCTCTAAGATTTCAATAACTGTAAAATAAAAAATCTGTATTCCATCATTTCAACGGGTTTGGTATATCTAATGTTAATTATAAAACAACATTTCATGACCAACGTATTGTCTGATTTTGACCTCCAAAATAAATTTGTTTTATTTTTTGACGTCGTGGGGTATTGACGAACGATTCGAATGGGAACTACTCAAGACTGGATCATGTGGATAAACATTGCTTTATATTATAATTTTTCCGAAATTGGATACACCTAGTAGTGTCGATATATAGTCAAAGTATGATTATAGCTAACAAACAAATTCGTTCCTCACTCAGCTTTCGTTCTGATGTTTTCTTTGCTTGGGTGTACGAAATTACCCCACTCTCCCCTACAAATCACGTGATCATGGAATGATATATGACCAAACCTACTGGTACGATAGGTTGTCAGAAACTTAAGCGTGTAATTTTTACAGCAATAACTTTTTAAAAATCGAATAAAAGATTTTCTCGATCCAAGGCGTGCGATAAGGTGTACTTTTTCCAGATGAGGTTTCTCGTAAATCGAACGATTTCCTACAGATTCCTGCCCACGAGTAGAACGATCTTTTTATAGTATAGATGAATAGATCGAAAGAGGAGTATCTTCACGGAAGCGTTTAAAATTTTCAGCTCGGGCACGCAAGATGGAAATTCTGGTCCTTCTAGGAACGGGGAATTTAGGTGTCGAGTGTCGCCTTGTTTCTATCGCGAGGTTCGATCAGGCCTGGTGGAACCTCGATATTGTTTCCGCGTGACATAATATTCAGAGTGGTGGGACCGTTTATCCTTTAACGTGAAACAGATATTCAAGACTTACCGTCGATGGAGAAAGGAAATTCCGTGGAAGCGAGCGTGCTCGCCGGCCCTGCCGCATGCAGAAGGTATTCGGGCCCCAAACCACCCAGTCCTGAAATATGTTGAGAGAACGCTGTTAAAAAAACAAAAAAAAAAAAAAAAAACGGCGCACGTGATCACAACGGAAAAATTATTCGCCCTCTCGTAAGGGAAGCGTCGTATCGGATATAGAACGCGACCGATGGATCGAGTTCAGAGAATCTGGGTCCCTCAAAGAGATCCATCCGGCGGATATGCGGGCCCTTTTCATAGATCTTCTCGATCCCCAAGTGAAATAATAGACTCGGTTCTGCCTCTATGGGCACTCGTTTTATTAAACTCAATCACGGACAGACGACGATGAGACTCGAAAACTCGAAGTAACATGATCGTAAGTAACTCTTCGGTAAGAAACGAGGATGATAAATATTGTCATTTCTTCCCCAATAATAGATGCAATCAAATGTAAAAATGTTGGGATGAATTGATATTAAAACTAACTACTATCTGAAGGATGCAGTTGGATAGAAACGACGAATTAAGTCGTTTGCATCCTCTGAATTTTTAAACAAATCTTAACCCACTAAGGACCAACGTTGAGTTATTGTAACATTTCTTGTGCAATTTCCATCCGTGAATGTTAATTTACATAATTAAATTTGCGATTCTTACAAAAATTCTGCTTATTTCGATATGTCTAAGTAAAAACTTCTTTTCCACGAACTACAGCTTTTACGTGTTTCTTTTCTTCCCTTTCAGTCAGTAGTAGACAATACTTTTGACAACTAATCCCACTTGTGATAAAGTATAAAAATCGATTGCAATACTACAACGGAGTAAAACGTTGGTAAAACTCTAGAAGAAAATTCTGTCTGCAACTATATTAATTATGTTAGTATATCAGATCTTTCCCAATACGCTATCCATTAAACAGAAAACGAAGAATGCAGTAAGAAATATTCACTCAAATGAACAGAAATCGATTTGTTTCATAAATAATAAAAAATGACAATTCGTATATCAAACAGTTACTCACGAAAACCAGTACATTTTTATTCTTCGTATTGAATCTATCTAGTATTTAGTGAAAAAATTATACGAAATGTGACAACCAACCCATCCGAAAACTAGTCCCAGTCTCCCTTATAGCGTGGCTAAAATATTCAAGCTCGCCGAAATTAAGCGACGCTGTTCGTACGGTATCGTTCTAATTATCTCGGTGGACAAGCACGGGGGCCAGGGTAATTACCGTGTAACGAGGCGTTGGGACTGTGCGTGGAGGCCTGGAGCTGGTGGTAAAGGTGGTCCATGTAGTTGAGCCGGTAGGCGGGATGCAGGGCCGTGTGCTCCGATAGGGGGTGACTTCTCCGGAGGAAATCGCCGCCGGAAGTCCCGTTCCCGGCAGCCCCGCCACCTCCGCTTCCTCCTCCACCTCCACCACCGCCGCTCGCTCCGCCACCGCCACCGGTGGCCGCGCTGCCGATCGCCGTTGTGCTGCCTGACAATCTGCAAAAATATTCTCCGTTTTAACACCCTTCTACAAGCATTTGACAAATCACGATGAAGTGAGAAATTTTGGGTGGTCGGTTACTTCACCTCCGAAGGATTTGTATTTTTTTTGGAGGTGGAAGTCAACTCTTGGCGGCCAAGTGGCAAGGTGTGATAAGGTATACAATGGTAAGGTAAAATAATCCGCAGAAGTTAGTTGAAGAGTAGAAGGAAGGAAATTTTCGTAATTGTGATTATTATTGTAAGACGAAGGTGTCGAAATAGAAATGGCAGTTCAGAGAGGGGAGTGCAATTGTTTTTGTATTTACTTTGGAACGTAGTAGTTACAGTATTAAAAAGTATTGACAGTCGTAAAACGTAGGGAAATGGTGTAGTTAATATTGCTCTTGGAATTAACATTGAGGTTATTTGTCAACCGATATACGTATAGACAGTGACTCACATATTCGTTCACAGACATCTGAAATCACAATTAGGTATAAAAGCTTTTATGCAATTTCTATTTATATATTCTCCTTATTGTTAGTTTTAGCATCGTTTCGTGGTTAATTTTTCGTGATTTTGAATTAAAATTCGTATTTAGGCGAATAGTTTCGTGGACTGAAAGTGACAGCCTTCCGTGAAGGAACTTGTGACTCACTGTGTATCCATATTTCGATCATTTTATCCATACACGTTCGGAATATGTAAAACGTAGAAGCCCACTTTTCCATCGAAAGAATATTTCTAGAAGCGTCGAATGTTTCACGGAAAAGGGTGAAACCAGTTCAGACAACAGATTAATCATCTCGAGGGGACAATGCAAAGAGAGGAACACGGTCGGTTTGTGGAATGAAATTACGACACGCCCGAAGCCACGACAAATGGCGTGTGTGTCTCTCTTCGTCAAAGAATTCTATTTTTGGTCCCGTTGATGGCGGAACAGGTGTCTTCTACCAATGGCAGGGCGGCTCTGTTCGTCGCTGAGTTTCTACTCGCTGAACCAGATTCATTTTTGCTCCCCTTTGGTCTTTGGACAAAAGCCGCCGGGGGGAACGAGCACTTTGCAAATAAAGGGAAGAGTCTCGGCGAATCCGAGGATCGTGGACCATTCGTCACGCACGGGATATCGGGAAATGACGCGTGTCTTGTACCATTCAGACAGCGTTCTGTCTTCTTCCGGTGGCGTTACCGGTGATTTGTCGTGTCTTCCTGCTGGACTATTTTCATCCAGTTACAAGTGACGAATTGGTCATTTGTATCAAGAAGGAATGAGTCACGTGACGGACGAACAACACGATGTATTTACCTTATACACCCAATTCTATTTTTACACGTTTTTCAAGTTTTCTTTAAGTACACTCACGAAGAAACCTCTGGGTGTTTTTCCCAGGACTGAAGAATGAGCCCAATTTCGAATCCTCGAAGACCAAGAGAAAACGAAAAAAAAAAAAAAAAAAAAAAAAAAAGAAAATTCACGAAAGACCTAAAAATGATTCTGCAAGTGTCGTCAAATTTCACTAGTACGGAATAATAAATCCCTAACTCTAGAACCTATAGCGTTAACCAATAGCTCCGAGAAGTAATTACGTCACAGTAATAAGCAAAGTTCTGAAGTTATTTCGATGGAATAGCTAGAGAAGCGTACATTTCACAAGTTCCTGGACCGAGTACCGAAAATCACTGTATACGATCATGGGTCCGAGAAGTTGGCCACCGTTTTGCTCTCGTTCTCGAGAAACAGAGCGGCACAGAGTGAGGACGAAACGGCGTCATAAGGGTACCTCGTGAAGGGTGCGCCTCAGCGTTTTGACTGACGGCCATTCGCCACGCTCGAAACATCGGGAAATGGCGCGTGTCTCGTACCTTCAAAGATATTCTCTTCGCCTGGTCGCGTCGTTAGTGCCTCTTTACGAGTAGCGGCGTGTCTCTGCCTCTCGCTCGCTCGCGCACGCGGTCAGCAGTTCTTCGAGGAATCGCGAGGAACGTCAGGTGGCTTGAGATCTTTATTGGAAACTCGCCGAGCAGCCTCCTCGCGACGATGACAGCGAAAGTCCCCGTGAAGCAGGAGTAAACTCACTGCCAAGGTCGCGGTTGCATTGGGGAATTTTCTCGGGAGTGATTGGAAAATTCTCGAGGGAGGGAAATTGGACACCTTGTCTTGAACACATGCGGACTTTCTTGGCGGTGAGAGTATTCTGTCAGCGAGTGGAAAAAATCAACCCTTTAACTGACACAATCTATTAACACTCGGTGTACGTACGATTTCATTTCTTTGTTACTTGATATCTAGGTTCTTTCGATATATAATTATGACTGAACTCGATATGATTTGTTTTATTTCGTAAATATATAGAAATATGATTTTACAAGATGAGAATCTTGTATCGGATAATACGATTTTTAGTGAAAAAAGGGACTTCGATCGCTTAAAAATCTTGAAAATCGAAATCTATTCATAAATTTTTTATCGTGTTCGGAAATAGTTACAAAACTATAACAGATGAAAATCTATTGAACGAGTTTCCCAATGGATTAATCAACCTCACGAAATAAAAACCTGACAATCGCCAATCAGTTCATGATCTAACAATTACACGTCTAATATTCAGCTCAAAATACACAACAATTATCGTAGGAAAAAGTTTCTTAAAAAGAGAGTAAAGTTATTGACGAAATCCAACCTGATCAAATTGTGAAGATGAAACAACGACAAACATCAGTTCATAAAAGCGTTGATTACGTACTACAAACAATGTTTCATGGATTTCAAAAATAAAGAACACTCACGAAATTGTAGGTGCCGGAACAGTTCATTAACGTCAACCATTAGTATTTTAACATCCCCCCCTAAATCGTTTCTGTTTGGGAAACACGGCTGCTCCGAGCGCTAGACACGTTTTCTTCTTCAGCGTCAACAGAGAATACTTTACGAGGGCCTCATTATGGCGTGAGAAAGGGTGGCGAATGAAATTCAGGGACTCGGTAAGCGGCTCATCCGGTTCTTTCGGACGTCTCGAGCGAACGGAATAACGCGTAAAACATTTGCTTTAAATATTCTATCTCGCTGATATCTTGGAAATATCGAATATCATAAAGAAAAGAAAAACAAAAACATGTTGAAGGTGTGGCAAAGTGGACGGCTAAACATAAATACAAATTTCAAAATTACAGATTATAAACGACTTGCAATAAAACCGATCACAGTGAAGATAACGTGATTATTTGCTTCAAATCAGTCTGCAGGTCGTAGTTTTCAAGTGAATTTGAAGCTCTTTCTTTTAAATTCTTCATAGTGAATTTTTCTATCGATCTGTCTATCCGAAATTCTAATTCGCAATTTCATTGCTCATTCGTTTACACTTAACGAAACATACAGATTTTTAAGATGATCAGTATCTATTAAAGTTAGATATTCTAAATTCAAAATGACGCATTCACTATGTCGAAGAACTTAGTGTATATAGATTTTCGAGAACAATATACATATATACACACTAAAGCAAATATGATTATAAACAAACAAGCAACGAAATTGAAAATTTAGGCTGAACAGATCGACAGAGAATTTCATTACGAATTTATTAGATTAAATTCGTGTAGGTAATTAATGATCGCTATTTATCAATCATAACATCATTATTGCAAACATTATATGCACGTTAGTTCTTTACTTATATATGGAATAGAATATTCATTTTAAAGTAAACCATTTATTTTTTAGGAATCTTTGTTTCATGTGACGAAAATAAAAATGAAAAAATATCTATATGGACATAAAGGAAACACTGCATATCAAATTGTTAGTTAAATAAAATTAAATTAGTAACGGTGGCGATACTGATTTGCACCCAAGTGGCCAACAACCCAGAAACGGCCCTGCCTGGAGAGGCCATCTTGGACACCCAATTATTATTTTACCAGGCCTCGGCGTGTCTCTATTATTTCACGGTGGATTTCGCGTCGGTTGCCGATAATAGCATCGCGTGGCGTGCCTCAACAACCCAGAAGGGCGAATGCGGCCTGCCTGTCCACGATGGGGAAAATAGAGACAGCAATTGGCGCGTGTCATAACGTTTTAACGCGTATTACGATGTTTGAGCCGCTCGCTGTCTAAATATTGGCTCCGCACGCGACGGCCGCGAGAGTTTGCTGAGCAAAGACAAACCGGGTCGACTGTTTGACTTTACTTAGAGTCCACGGATCTCGTTTACTGGCTACTTACTCGTTACCTGCTTTACACGGTGTTCCTGCCCCATGTGTTAACAGGTTTGTCATATAATCCGCGGAGTATCCGTCCACGTCGAACGACCGAGGCAAACTCTTTAGAACCTAGCCATTTTTTCCTTTTCGTTTGTCACATTTCCACGAACTTATCGACTACTACCTGTAACCTTTAACCACATTAACTGGACAATTTTACGACGATAAGCACTCAGGTGCGAAAATCAGGGACTACGTTCATTTCAATTAAGACGAACGATCTTGGGTATCTCGATCTTCTATAAATATTGACTCGATGATACTCTATGTATCTGGACCCCTGGGCCAGAGTATATCAAGTCCACATTTTAAAAAAATGACATTTTGTACTCTTTCTGGTGGTAAAAATTATTTCGTTCTAAGTCCTTTAGTTTTTAATATATTAATGTAAAATGATAGTAAGTCCATATTTTGTTCTAAGCTAAAATGTAAAGTCCATCGCATAAGGCAATTAATGCAAGGTTCACTATTTCTATATATCGAGACTTGACTTCAGTACCATCGTTAGTTTCAGTTCTTATTGAATTCTTCTGAACTGTTCCAATGTTACAAGGTTTTTGCACCTTTCATTTCTTCTCCTCTATAGTTTGAAAACTGTGACTCAATACACTTTGGCCCTGAGGTCCAGGATATATAATCTCTATACGTGTAAATAAGAATTGAGATACCAAGGTTACTTAACAGGTTACCGTGGATGTGAATGTGAGAGAAGCTCCTCGAGGTGGCTGTAAGTAGTTGCTACAATAGC